CTTACTGGGGACCAAAGAAAGGTAATGGCATTCCGTTTACAGGAAATCTATCTCTATGAAAGCTTCTTGCCTCCTCCATTCCAGAGGGCCTGAGCTCTAAGCAGCCCACCAACAGCTCCCAGGGGGATTCAGGGGCTTCCTGTAACCAATCCAGCCTTTTGACTGCCACAAGCATGGCCACTCTTGTGCCTGTTCCTCACCTGCATATCGAAGAATCCCAGGACAACAAATCCCTGGGGTTCCTTTCGCCGCTTCTTGTGGCTTCCTTATGCCATTTTCAGGTGTTGGACGACCGTGGGAGCTGGTGCAAGCAGAAGGGAAAAGAAAGAAGGACAAAGATGAGAACGGTGTTTTCTAAATTACAAGGAAAAAGGGAGCTAGGTCAGGCCAGAAGAGAAGGCGGTGGCTGGAGGAGACCCCAGGCAGGAGCAGACCCTGGAGTGGGGGCAGGGAAGGGTTTACCTGGTGGGGTGCAGGCAAGCCTGTGTGGGGCTGGAGTTTGAGGGGTTTGGGGTGGCAAGTATCCTGTAGGGGCCAAGGGTGAGTGCTGGAGAAATTGGGCATCAGGGGATTGTCTGTATGTTGGAGGGTATGTTGAGGTTGAGGTTTCACTCACCATTAATGCCAAACACTTTTTTAAAAGTGGTTGCTATATGTAGTGGATTGTCTGAACCCAGGGGAAGAATCCCTTTCAGGGGCTAATTCCTAGCCATTTCTGGTCTGATTTCCAGATAATACACATAAGCTTTTAAATAATAATAGCTTTATTACACATTATTATGAACCTGTGTAAAACATCCTTTGTTGAGACCATCAGATATTGGTAGGTAAAGAAAAGGACCCCAAGACAGTTAAGTCCCGTCAAAGTAGACTCTGGGGTGCAGCGCTCATCTCGCTTTCAGGCCGAGAGAGCCGGCATTTGTCCACAGACATCTTTTCAGGTCATGTGGCCAGCAGAACCAAACCGCTTCAGCGCAACCGAACACTGTGACAGAAACCAGAGCGCATGGAAACACCATTTACCTTCCCGCCACAGTGGTACCTATTTATCTACTTGCACTGGCATGCTTTTGAACTGCTAGGTTGGCAGGAGCTGGGACAGAGCAATGGGAGTTCATTCTGTTGCAGGGATTCGAACTGCCGACCTTCTGAATGGCAAGCCCAAGAGGCTCAGTGGTTTAGACCACAGTACCACCTGCTGGTAGGTGGGGTGTAATAGTTTTTACCGGGGGGGGAAGAGAAAACCACCACTGACTTCAGTCTGCACTGTGAATACATAAATCCATAACAAAAAGAAAGGCAACAGAATTGATTTTCATAAGGTAGACTGGGAGGAGGCAGCAGTGGTCACATCTCTGTTGGGGGCTGGATCAGAAGGAAGCACAGTGAAGACATAGAGACACTGCCGGATTTATGTATAAGCTAAACCATCTATAGCTTAGGGCCCCAATCGCTTGGGGCCACCCCCCAAAAAAAATTTAAAGGAATAAAACTGGATGTCTATTTCCAAAATATAAGATAAAAACAAATTAAATAAAACCTACAAACAGCAACAGTGTTTTGTGTTCTGTAGGCTCCTATGATGTAAGTAATGGGCCCCACCTGCTAGCCTGCTCCCTAAAATATCACTGGTTTGCTCATTTCTATATATAGGGTGCCTACATTCTGCATGTGCAAATGGCTTTAGATACCGATTAGGTCCATAAATTACCATATAGCATATATTCAACACAAAAAACAGCAACCAATTGTTGATGACAAAGGACAGCTGGACATATCAAGCGCCCCATTACCTTCAGTAGCTTAGGGCCTCGTCTAACCTAAATCCCGCCCTGCATGGAGAGCACAATCTTTCCCGCCTGGCAAAAGGGACACAGTGCGAGGGAGGTGCAGACCTGGCAATGAGGCATTCGGAGGAATGTGGGAAGAAGGAGGAAACTTTGGAAGGCTGCTTGTCCCAGTTACGGAGGGAACAAGTCAGATCAGGCAAGCAGAAAGGGTGGCTCCTTCTACTGCAGGGGTCAAAAAGAAAGAGGGAATGCCCAGAATTCCCAGAAGGAAGATGCAATTCCAACCAAGGAAGAATGGCAGATAAAACTAATGGCCTAAGTGGAAATGGCAAAACTTGCTAGAAAAATCAGAAACCAACTTTTAATTAAAAAAATGGAGAAAGTAAATAATGCATTTGAAAAATCATTGTAAACCATTAAATTCACTAGCAGGATTAACTTAAAACTTGTAGTTAAAATTTGCATTAAGGGGTTTATAAATAATTGGAATTAGAAAGGCGATGCACTATGAAACCACAAAAGAGGGGGAGGGAAGTCAAAGAGGATATTTGTAGCATACAGTGGTACCTTGGGTTAAGTACTTAATTCGTTCTGGAAGTCTGTTCTTAACCTGAAACTGTTCTTAACCTGAAGCACCACTTTAGCTAATAGGGCCTCCTGCTGCTGCCGCTGCACCACCGTTGCACAATTTCTGTTCTCATCCTGAAGCAAAGTTCTTAACCCGAGATAATATTTCTGGGTTAGCTGATTCTGTAACCTGAAGCATATGAAACCCGAGGTACCACTGTATTGTGTTTCTATTTGATGTTTGTACAAATGAAAAAGTCAAAAATGAGAGAGAGAGAGAGAGAGAGAGATTGTATATGTAGTGCAGAGGAAAGGTATTTGAAAATGGGTTGTGTGTGTGTGTTTATCACTAACCCTTTCATTCCAATGACTTATAAAAAGGACCCATCATTTTAAGAACTTGATCTCTTGTTGGTTTCTGACTTCTCGAGTAAGGCATTTTAATGCATTTTACCACTTCTCATAATTTCTCTGGTCAGTCTTTGCATTGGGGGTGGGGGTCGCTTCATCCAATAAAAAACTATTAATAATAATAATAAATCAAAATTCCAAGAATTCAGAATTTTATCCCTCTGAACAAAATACAGTAGGTTAGCTTTCTATATATATGTGTGTGCTTTGAAATTCATGGTAGCTGTTAACATATCTAAAATAAAGGTATCTTCTAATGAAAATGAGTTACTAAGTATAAATACCATTAAAGAAATTGTGGAAAGAAGTACAATATTAGCTTCCCAAATTGCAAACCAGGGGTGTTTACTGGTCAAAGCATTTGTCATAGATGGGTAATAACTCTCTTTTAGGCCCCTAAACTCATTGGGTTTGGCTAAACCCACCTTACCTGTTTGTTTTTCAGCATTTGTAGGCTCTTCTATATCAAAAAGTTCTCAGGACAGCTGAATTAACCCAAAAAGTTAAAAGACAACAATAGGAAAATTAATAGAATACAATGTGAAGCAGAATTTAAATTCCACATTAAGCTCAGAAACAAAAGGGGAGTGTCAAAAATGAAAACAGCAAGATTTAAAAGCCCTAGGAAATTAAGGTTGGTGCCAAGGAAGCCTCTCTGTGGAGGGTGTGCCACCACTGAAAATACCCTTCGATTCATTTGACATCTCTCCCCTGCTGGGGACACCTAAAGAAGATCCTCCAGCTTTGATCTCAGGGTCCAGGTAGGTACGTTAGGAGAGGCAACCCTTCAGGTACCCCCGTTCCATGCTATGAAGGGCCTTAAAACAGCATTTTGAATATGTTCCAGAAACAGACAGTGAGCCAATGCATATGCCAAAATAACGTGTATGGTGTAAGAGGTTTTTAACACTCAGCCCCAGCGAGCAATCTTGCTGCCATGTTCCTTACCAGCCGGAGTTTCTGGATAGTTTTCAAAGGCAGTCCCCTCCACCTCACAACATGTTGTAATAACCCAGATGCGAGATTACATGGGCATGGATCACCAGAGCAAGGCTTTCTCTGCCCTGGTAGAGTTATAGCTGTCCCAGCTCCTGCCAAGCTAGCAGTTCGAAAGCATACCAGTGCAAGTAGATAAATAGGTACCGCTGTGGCGGGAAGCTAAATGGCGTTTCCATGCACTCATGGCTTCTGTCACGGTGTCCCGTTGCACCAGAAGTGGTTTAGTCATGCTGGCCAGATGACCCTGAATGCTGTCTGTGGACAAACACCAGCTCTCTCAGCCTGAAAGTGAGATGAGTGCCACATCCCATAGTTGCCTCTGACTGGACTTAACCGTCGAGGGGTCCTTTACCTATAGCTGGGGTACAAACCTAGGCTGGGAAGAGGCACTCTGAGTTAATGACTAAGATTGCTCCACTGAACTACAAAACTGGCCCTTGAGGGAGAGTGCAACCTCCTGCAGAACAGGTTGAACACAGAGGAACCACCTATTAACAGTACCAACAACATTTTGTCTGGATTGAGCCTTGTTTATTGGCCCTCATCCAATCCATTTCCACGTCAAGCCACTGATTTTAACAACACACCTCACCTGGGTTTTGAATGAAAAATATAACTAGAACCCAGAGTCTCCTGCAAATCCCCCAATGACCTCACACAGTTAAATAGCATGTTTTGAAGATAAAGAGGAGGGGATAACCCAATTTATGGAGGTTAAGCTGACCTTTTAAAAGGACTGTTTGCTCCTGTAAGATCATTTAGAATTAGATCATCTGAGGAAATTCTATTCATGGTACCACACTACAGAATGTCATAGGGCAGTGACCCAAACCAGGCATTTTCTATTGTTGCCCCTCTTCTATGAAAGTCCCTTCCCTCTGCCATACATTGCTTCAAATATCTTCTAAAGGCATATATTTTCACCAAGACCTTCCCTGACCATAAGATTGGGGCCTGTTTTTATCTGTTTGAATTCCTGTTTTTATATGCTTCGATTTGCTTTTGCATTCCATTTTGCTGGTTTTATGTTGTATTTTGTTTTAAAAGATATTGTTCTGCTGCTTTTAAGTTGTACACTACATAGAGATTTTTAAAATATTAAGCAGGTTTTCAACATAATGGCAAGGAAATAGAAAAGACTCCTAAATGATTCTTGACAGAGCTTGTGCGATCCATAACCCCATTTCTGTGTTGTTGTTTTTCAGTCTCAGTCCAGGATCTCATGTCCTCCTGGCTCCTAGAATGGAGCAGGAAGAGGATCTGATTACCCAGAGTTCAGGGATCTACCTGAGGCTCCTAGAGGACACATAGCAAGCAGTGGGCCTGGGATGGGGGGACTTGCGGGCGAGCGGCCCCTTACAAGTGCTCCATTTGCCGAAAGAGGTTCAACAAGACATCCAACCTGGTCCAGCACGAGAAGATCCACACGGGCGAGAAGCCCTACAAATGCTCGCAGTGCGGGAAAAGGTTCACGCGGAGCAACAACCTGGCCGAGCACGAGAGGATCCACACGGGAGAGAAGCCTTTCAAATGTCCCGAGTGCGGGAAGACCTTCAACCGCAGCTCCATTCTCCTCAGGCACCGGAGGATCCATACGGGAGACAAGCCCTACAAGTGCCCCCGGTGCGGGAAGAGTTTTCAACGAGAGCGCCCGGCTTCCGGGTGCACCAAAGGACTCACCTGACGGAGGTGGCCTACCTCATCGACAGCAAACGGGGAGGCCACGGCCATTGACACGAGCGGCGTGGCCCACAGCTGCTCCGACTGCGGCAAGACCTTCAGCCTCTACTCCAACCTGACGAAGCACCAAAGGATTCACACGGGCGAGAAGCCGTACCGGTGCGCCCAGTGCGGGGTCCACTTCAGCGAGGCCTCCAACCTGATCCGCCACCAGAGGTACCACGCGCGGGACAAGCCCTTCCAGTGCCCCATGTGCCAGAAGAGCTTCGGCCAGAGCTCGCACCTCATCCAGCACCAGCGCATCCACACGGGCGAGCGGCCCCACAAGTGCCCAAGACTGCGGAAAGAGCTTCATCGAGAACTCAACGCTGAGGAAGCACCAGCGGATCCACACCGGGGAGAGGCCCCCACCGGTGTGTGGAGTGCGGCAAGAGCTTCAGCCTCAGCTCCCACCTGGTGACGCACCAGAGGAGCCACACCGGGGAGCGGCCTTACAAATGCGAGGAGTGCGGGAAGGGCTTTGCCGACACGTCCTCCCTCATCATCCACCGGCGGAGCCACACCGGGGAGAAGCCCTACAAGTGTGACGTGTGCGGCAAGGCCTTTGTGCTGAGCTCCGTCTACCTGAACCACCGCCGGACTCACACCGGGGAGAAGCCTTTTGGCTGCCCCGACTGCGGCCGCGCCTTCCGCCAGTGGTCGCAGCTGGTCATTCACCGGAGACTCCACACGGGGGAGCGGCCCTACAAATGCCCCTATTGCAACAAGGGGTTCTGCGACAGCTCCACCCTGACGAAGCACAAAAGGACCCACACGGGAGAGAAGCCAAACACGTGCGCCGAGTGCGGGGTGAGCTTCGGCTCAAAGGCGCAGCTGGTGGAGCATCAGGCGCTGCACGGGGGAGAGGCGTCCGCTCTGGCTATCCTGTAGCCCTCAGCTGGCCATTGAGAACCTTGCCTTGGAGGTCCAGATGCCGTTGGACTCTTCTTCCCATCATCCCCGGTAGCTGTGGCCAGTGGTGAGGGATGATGGGATTTGTAGTCTATCAACATCTGGATGCGCCATTCTTGCCTTTATTTTTGAGATAGCTCTACTGGCTGGGATAGCTCTACTGGCTGTTTGCTCATCTCTGTATTCATTCTTGACCCTTTGCCTTCCAGTGCCAGTGAGCATGGCAACTTTCGCCCCGTCGCTTAGTGTGAGGTGCGTTGGTTGCTGGGCATGCAAACAGGTAAGAGATGAAGGTGGACATCGGAGTGGTGACTGGTAATGTCACACAGGCATTGATGCCTGCCAGAAGCAGGGGAAAGCAGAGGTGTTCCCCTCATTGGTTTCCACAGATGGGCACATAGGTGGGGGCTCCTTTCACAAACAGGCTATTATCCTCCCCTCACTCTTTACTTTCAGATGATGCTCCTATGTGCACCAGCAAAACAGTGGACAGACTCACAAAGTATGGAACGTTGAAAGATGCACACTTGAGATTTTTTTTTTTAAAGGAGTAGAAAACCTGTCCTCTGTTTTTTCTCTGTGTAGAATTTTGAGAGTATAAGAACAGAAATTTCTCTAGCATAGCACTGTTATTAAGGGTTAACAATTACCACAGCTGCTATTTTTTCCTGCATTCCACTTGGTGCTACAAAATATTTTTCTTCTCCTTGTGAAAGGAATATCCCACCATCCATGGATTTCACGGAAGAGACCCAATGTGCCAATTCAGTGTGTGTCCATAAAACTTTTTTTAATTGTCTTTTTACATTTTTTAAAAAAATGTCTTTGAAAGGACCCCAAAGCCAATAGCACTGCTTCCTCGGGTATAAAGAGCAGCACGGGAACTTTTGGCCCTGTTTAAATCACCCAAAGCTTGCTCTGTTGTCACACAAAATATAGTTAAGATTAACTATGGCTTGTTGAAAGAAGCTGACTTCAAACCACAAGAAGCTGACCTATTTTCAACAAGCGGGGCTGTCTCTGTGGCTCTCAGAGGGTTGGCTCAGCCTTAATCCAGCCCTCAGGCTAAAAGGGACCGTTGCCCTGCACTAAACTATGGTTTAGCTTTCGTGTGAAATGCACATGTGCAAAAGTAATCCAAACATTTTCCAAAACACTATATTTTTGTGTTTGCCCTTGCATTTGTCAATTCTGTTTTGGTCTGTTCAATCTTCAAATGTTTGTTTCCTCCGAGTGATGAAATTTGAAGTTATGCAAGAGCTGAATGCTTGATTTAATGGAAGCTCCTTCCAGGAGCTGCTCTAACGTTCAAGAAAATCCACAATGCTACATCTTGTAGGGATATTTGGTTTTCCCTTTGGGAGACTAATATTTTGAAAGAGTGGTGGGCCAAAGGGGCCAAAATCAGACTGGACATTATTCCGTAATGTTCTGTCAGCTCTGAAAAGAAAGATGGCCAATGATGGTCTTCTCTTTAGGCCTTAAAATCCTTCCAAGGAGGATTGCAATATTTAGTCAATTATTTGATTAAAAGCATTGATAAAGGAGATGCCCCCACAATTAATTGGAAAGAAGATCAAGATGCATTTAATTGGCTCAAATGCCTGATTTCTAACACCAGTATCTGGGTATTAGAAGTGGGGATAATGAAACTAATGGGGCACTGAATAACTTTCCCTAAGTTTTGTTGTATAGCACACTAGGGCCTAGAGAGGGGATCAGCAACCAGAGCCCCCTGGGCCTAATAAAATTTCCCAGAGGATGCTCTCTTTCCCCCAACATAGAAGGCAAAGAGATGTAGTAATATTGCCATCTGTGGGATCCTCCTCATGCTGATGGAGGGGAGGAGCTTGAGGGAGTACCTCGATTTGCCCATCAAGAAAACAAGTGTTTTATTTTTGTATATGAGACCATTTAGCGAAGGGCAGGCTTTGGACAGTGGCGTAAGGTCCAGACCAAGATCATCACACTTCATTCCTCTTGAAATCAGTGGGAGCAAAGTAATCGTGGCTACCTTGTCCCATTGATTTCAGTAGAAGATAAGTGCAACTAGCTTGGATTCAGCTCATTTGAATTATGAGCGAGGCATGTGGGTGATGATGAGTTACCGTATTTTTTGCCCTATAGGACGCACTTTTCCCCTCCAAAAATGAAGGGGAAATGTGTGTGCATCCTATGGGGCGAATGCAGGCTTTCCCGGGCTTCCTGCAGCTCTGCGCCACCCTTCGGATCCCGGTGCGAAGCTGCGCGGGGCTCCGGAGGGTAGCGCAGAGCTGCCTGCGCTCCAGGGCTTCCTGCAGCTCTGTGCCACCCTCTGGATCCCAGTGCGAAGCCGCGCGGGGCTCCGGAGGGTAGCACAGAGCTGCCTGCATTCCGAAGCCTGGTGCGCGCTGAAGAGCGCGCCTTGGCTTCGCGCACCTCTCTGCAAGCCTGGGGAGACCGGCGCGACTCCCTTGGCTTGTGGATAGCAGGCTGTTGTGGGGTCGGGGAAGCTCGGGCTTCCCCCGCGCCTGCCCGTGCCTGGGGGGGAAATAATTTTTTTTTCTTTATTTCCCCCCCCCCCACAAAAAAATAGGTGCGTCCTATGGGGCGGTGCGTCCTATGGGGCGAAAAATACGGTATATGAAACTTTGGAAGGAGAAGTGATGGGGACAAAAACTTCCCTCAGGACTGATTTTGCACCTTGGCTTCAAAACCACAAAGAGAGGAAGCTGTGCTCTTTGCGTGGGAAGAGGACCAACCAGCGTAGAAGCTCTGAAGATCTTCCCTCCAAAATATGGTGCCCTTCAGGTCTTCGCCCTGTTGCTCTCTTTGTGGTAAAGGCGGTTAGGAATCACTTGGAAAGTGCATAGAGCTGAAGGAGGAAGTCGAAGGAATGCCACTCTTTGCCTACTTCCTCTGTCAGCACTGTGCTTCTCAAGGCTTAGGTTATTTCTCCTGGATTCAGCTGTTACCCAGTTCCCTCGGAAAAGCAAAATGTGTGTTGTCAGGGGTGGGGATGGAGAAGTGGCCAGAGGGGATGATGCCCAGGGACCTAAACGGACTGATAATCCCTCTCCTAAAGAAAAGCATCCTGATAATATTTCCATGCTATTGGGGAGAAGGACAAGAGTTTATTCTGGAGTGCAAAGTTTTCCAATATCTACCACACTTCCTTGTAAGTCCACTTTTTAGCTGAACCACCACACATGACAACTGTCTGGATCCTTTTTCTTTTTTTTAATATACGTGAATTTTATTATATAATATACAGCAGTGTGAGGGTAAAAAGTTGGCGGCAGAAGGAAAACCACATGCTCCTTGGACTCCTGACCCAAGTTCTATCATAATAAAAGCCTCAATTTGGGTTTACACCGTAAGATTTTTTTAAAAAAATGACCCTGATAAAGTAAAACTGCAAGCTCAGGCACATTCCCCCACCCACCCATTCCCTTCCTCCTTGATTCTTTGAAACCCAAACCAAAAGTGTTTTAATTATTTGCAATCCAGGGCTTTTTTAAAAACTGCAACATGCAAAGGGAGGTGGGGTGGGATGCCACTTCCTTTCCTCAACACCAGCCAGTCATCTACCCAAAGCTGCTACATTAGGGAGGCTTCACTCTTGCCATACCACTAACCTCCTTAGGACTCTATGGGTCCCTAAGGGAGAGGCATCTTCCCAAATCCCACTGACAGCTCACAGATATAACCCTTGGGGTGGTGTCAAAGCTGTTTACACGTAAACTCGCCCCAAAATCTCTGCCACTGAAGGATGGGCCACAGAGTTACTGCTGCCTCTCCCCTCTTGTAGTTGAACCATTTTAGATCATACTTGATCACAATCATAAGTGCTTTAGGGCAGCCCTGAAGTGAAATAGCCCCTCACCTTGCACCCGAAGGCAAAAGCGGTAAAAGATACCAAAGGACCTGGAAGTAAAGGGTTTTTTCCCCCACCTCCCACCTGAACAGCTTTTATGGCTTGAGAATAGAGAGATGGGTTTCAGGTGCGGGAACAGCATTGCGGGAACAGACTTCACAGGGAGCGGAGGGGGTGTGGCTTCTTTGTGGCCCCGCCTTCTACCTGGATGACATCGCCAGCTAGTCTTGTGTGAGTTGCGGCTTAAGGCACTGCCTCCTGTCTGAAGCGCTGGCTCTGTGTGGGTGTGGCTTAAAGTAGCATGTGATGGGGGTGAGGGCCAAGGATTGGCTACTCGGGGCTGCGGTGGGATTGGCTCCTGAGTAGAGTGGGAGAAGCGGACAAGTCCAGCTTCTCGCCTTTGGCTAGAGGCGTGGCTTTGGCAATCGTGTGGTGGCTCCGCCGGGGTGGAACCCATAAGGCACAGGCCTCTCCCATGCGTGGCAGTGGGTGTGGCTCGGTCAAAGGCTGGGATTGGTGGGCCTTCCCCCTTCCCATGCTGGTAGCGGGCATGGCACGGCCATGGCGCTCTCCTGGTCACCCAAAGAGCTTGATGAAGCAAGGGTGGCAGTAGGGCTTGTCGTTCTGCTCCTTGAAGGTGCCCTTGTTGAGCTGCTTGAGGCAGAAGGCACAGACAAAATGCTCAGGGTGGAACTTGCGCGCCATGGCCGTGATGCAGCGGCCAGTGATGGGCTTCTCGCAGCCCGAACAGAGCGAGCCGCGCTGCTTGTGGTAGTGGATCTCGCAGAATGGGCGGCCGGCGTGCTCAAAGAAGCTCCCGTTCACAAATGGCGTGTAGCACTCCTGCAGCGGGGAGAAAGGCAGAGGCGTTTCAGCAATTTGAAATGAAAAAATTAGTTTAAAACAACTTACAAAAATACGCCAGGGCCTAAAAATACACATCTCGGGAGTCAACGGCCAGGGTAAACAGGTGCATCTTCAGCATTCGCCCAAAAATGCACATTGAAGGTGCCACACACCCCTGTGTGGGGAACAACTCTTATTTAGTGGCCCAGCTGCATCTTGTTTTCTACATCTTGTGTATTTTTTATTTTTATTTTTGGTGCTCACACTTTCAGCATGCTCCTCAATTTCCCTTTTTGTTAACTTATGTTTGCTTTGCCAGAATTTGTGCTCCTTTTCGTTTCCTCACTTGAGCAAGACCTTTCACTGTTTAGGAGAAGCTTTGTTGCTTGTAAACCACGTGCCAATATCTTATTGGACTTGATCGCTTCCTTTCCTACTTTCTAGATGAGCTTCTGTTATTGTGGCTTTAAATAACCTCCAAATTGGGGGTGGGGGCGGGCCTGGATAAATTTATCCCTCTTAACTTCTCTTAATTATTTTAAAAATCAATTCCTCTTTTCAAATCCAATGGGATAATGCTGGAT